CCCGGAAAAGTTTCAATCATGCGTATTACTTATTAGTTCTATTAGTTCTTGCTTTTCGTTAGAAATTATGTACTTTGCAACATTGTTCAACTTAGCAATTTACCTGGAGGCCTTTTGGTTGTGTCCCGTTCAACTTCAAAATGTTAAAAACTCATCGCTTAGGATCATCTTTAAACTCTGGCAATTTCTTGTTTGGATTGCATTTTTCTAGATTTTTTATAGAAAAATTACTGTAGCAATTTAATATATGTAAGGTAAAAAAGTGATTGCAAAATGTGTTTATAGTAAACGTGGAGGAAAATTGTTGTCCAAATATATTTTGACTGGTTCTTAGACCCTACTAAAATTCCCATGACGGTAAAGAGAAGTGAAGGAAATTTAACCAAGCATCAGTTATTTAATATATCAACCTACTTGTCAGCAATAGTAAGTTCTCGGAATATGGCATTATTTAAGCGCAACGGATCTTCTGTTCCACATCCTGTGCCACTCTCTGTCCCATTTTTTATTATATTGCTATTTCTCCTACATAAACATCATGTTTTAATTTTTTTTTTGTTTCCTTAAGATCCAATAACTATTAATTAAGTAAAAAATAAATACAACAGTTTCAAAAAAGCAATATATAATAGAAAATTAAAAAATACAGCAGAAAATTCATAAAAAATCTCATTTTTTATGTATTTTGATTTTTTGAATTTGTTAAATTTTGTGTATTACTCAATTAATAGTTATTGGATCTTAAGGAAGCAAACAATAATTAAAACATGATGTTTATGAAGGAGAAATAGCAACATAATAAAAAGTGGGACAGAGAGTGACACAGGGTATGAGACAGAAGATCCGTTGCGTTATTTAAGGCTTTCTTAGAGTTCGGTTGCCCGCCCGTTAGTCTCCTTAAGTTTTTGGTCAATGAATAAATTCTGGGTTCTAATCTCCCTACTGCCTTCTCACTTCTTAAATTTTATTCTTCTCCTACTGAAGGAAAAAAAAAGTCTGAATCCAATTGATTAGTCGATGCTCTCCCATGGAAACTAAATAAATTCTACCCTTTACATAAAGCAAATGGTGATGTGGATGTATAGTGATAACTTGACTGTAAAATTCCCAAGAATAGTAGTCAAAAGAATTGTAATCAGCATCACAATTACATCACTGGTCAATGTCGTCAATTGGAACTTAATCTGAAAACAGAAATCAAATTAACAAACATTAGCCATAATATTACTGAGACCGCTATATAATGCAATCCCTCTCCCTCCTTCATGTAGTAACATTGGCCATGGAGAAATTTCACCACCTTTCCCCACTTGGACTTGTGTTGCTATTTTAAAATCTTAAGGAGGTTATGTGACATTATGTAAAATCACAAGGGGATAAAACGTAATTTATCCAAAAAAATAGATGCCCAAGAACCCTAAGTAAAAGAAATATTGAAAAGGAAAATGGTTGGCAGACTTGTAACAAGCTGTGTTTATTCTAAGGAAGAACAAACTTAACAATTCACGAGTTTCTACAAAATACTAGCTAAATTATAGGAAATAAAGGTAAAATTTTCTTATTGCAACAAGAAAAGAAAAACATGAAAGAAAAATATATAGTCTTTTAACAAATAAAGGGACACAATTTTCAACATGTAGACATCTTTACCTGGACATAAATGAACATATCAAATTTTCAAGGGGCTCCTAAAATATTTGCAATATCTTGGTGGAGTGGCTATCCCTTTCCGCCCACTTTGCATTTGCTAATAGCTGTTATTAGGGCTGCAAACGAGCCGAGGCGAGTCGAGGTTTGGCCTAATCGAGCCGAGTCTTGACTTAATTTCATTGAACTCGAACTCGAACTCGAGCTCGACGAGCTGACAATTTCACACTTGAGCTCGAGCTCCACTTGATTCGAGCCGAGCTCGAGCTCAAAAAATAATTATTTTATTTTTAAAAAATAAATAAAATAATATTTTTTCTTAATAAATAATAAAATATTAAGGATATATATGTAATTTTACTATTAAAATATAAAAATATAAATTTATATATACTTAAAAAATAAAAAAAAATATATACTTAAAATAAAAAAATAAAAAAAAATATATATACTCGAGCTCGCGAGCTAACGAGCTTAATATTTTGAACTTGAGTTTGAACTTGATTTCGACTCGAGCCAGCTCGAACTCGATTCGAGCCGCTCGCGAGCGGTTCGGTCCGTTTGCAGCCCTAACTGTTATCCACACAAACACGCACATGATAGAGCCGCATAACCACTTAAAGCCACCATGTTAGCATGTATGACAAGCCCGTTGGAATGTTCCCTTTCAGAGAATGACTCTAAATGTTCCAAATATATATATATATATATATATATATATACACTACATTGTCACCTAATGAAGAGCCCGTATTATTTGAACAGTGTTTTTTTTTTTTTTTTTTTTTTGCATCTGGGGAGAGATTTAGGCTTAGTTTGGGAGTTTATGAAGGAAGAGCAAAGATAACTTGAGGAAAGAAAGGAAAAGAAGGGAAAAGATGCATATGTCATTTGGGAGTTCAATGAAACAAAAGAAAAGAAACATCTTTCTCTTATTTGAGAGTTGGAGAGATATGAAAAGAAGAGATCTTATAAGAATACAACTTTACGTATTTGCCCTTTCAATTTTTAAATCAAAGCCCAAAATTTGCTTTCTTGTTCCAATAAACAGAATATTTGGGCAAAATAAATTTCTAAAACAATTACATATACATTCTCACAAGGTGAATAGTAATATGTTGAGTTCTCAAATGGTGCAAGACAAATTTCTGATACATCAAGCATGATAACTTTTTTATGTCTCTATACGCATGCCTTTATGGGATCGGCATTGTTATCCAAACTAGGAGGCATAAACGTGTTTCGCACAATGAAAATGTAAAATGCCCTACCCACTTTTGTATAGAGCAAAAAGCAAAATATATGAAATAATAAAACTCGCGTATTACAACCAATTCTCTATATCTTTTTTTTTTTTGAAAAGTCTTTAATTCATAATTAAGTGTTTACATTTTAAATCGCATATAAATGACTGAAAAAAAGAAAAAAATAAGTGTTTAATAGTTACATATAAAAAAAAGTAAGGGAACCATTTTCCCTATAAACTACCAGCTCTTTATGTGTTTTCTTTATCAAATAAAAATTACCAGCTTTTTGCAGGCATGATTTTCTAAAATAGAATTTTTTACCTTTTATTGTACCTACAACTGGTTTTCTTACTTTTTATTATTATCCTTGTAAACAAAATATGGCTATGATTTTTGATTAATAATATGCTTAAAGAAAGCAAAATTATTACAAAACAAAAAGAAAATATACATTAACTAAGTATTGTATTTTTAGGCAACTTAACATCAATTTTATTATGATTCTTTCTAAATAATTCTAACTAATATAGACAAAAACAAAAAAATTATTGATGAAAGTATAGGACTAAGAAGAGCTCCCACTAACCCTCCAATTGTTTTTTGTTACTAGTTGAAAGTATAGGACTGAGAAGAGCTTTGCATCGATGCCTTTACCATCAGCTTTAGGACACATTGGAAATAATAAATTTTTGTATCAACTTTTAAAGTACAAAATTGTCATATTGAAAATAAGTTTTGGCGCCCACGAAGTTTCCCTCCTTTTCTTCCCAATTTTGGGCGGAAAAATTTTTCGCCAATTGGAGGGGCTTTTATCCATTCATTTCATTTTTTTCCATCCTTGTTTTAACTCCCAAAGAAACAAAATGATAAGACTTTCTTTCAACATCCTATTTTATGCACGGTTGAGATGAAGCTACAACACAAGTTTTCTGTCCATAGTTATCGTTCAGAATATTTAACAAATAATCCGGTTTCTGTGTCTTGCATGACCAAGTCTTAGTATTTGAAGTCACACACCTGAGTGGAAGCATAATATATTATAATTAGATCGCCGTTAGCCACTAGGAATTTTTTTTCCAGTCTTCCACTAAGGAAATACTGTGTACTTTTTCAACTAAGTCACTCCCCAGAGTGGAAGGACTTTTAACTTTTGTTTTCATCCTGTTTAGCTTCTAATTGTCAAAGCTCATCATTTTGATTTATCCTCGAACTTTGGCAATTAGTTTTAAGTGGTCCTTATGTCCCAGTTGATCTACTGAGATCCCACCCAAGGCTGTAAAAATACATGTCTTGAATTGCAATAAATCCTCAAAATGCGTTTCATGAAATGTTTTCACTTACTGATTTGTTCCATAGTTGCTTTTCTTTGTTTTTCTGACTAGGTACCGACTAATCTTTCTTGATCACTCTTGAACTATTGAAGCAACTGTTTGCCAGTGTTTTTGCAAAATTAACAAGGCTACTTAATTGATCATTTAGGCAAGTTTTGTACATATAACTGTAGTAGTCATAATTGATCCCGAGTCCCAATGAGTTAATCATGTCCATAGGGACTTTTAGGTAGGATGAGTTTAAGATTTTTTTTTTTTTTTTGAAAGAAATGAGCTTAAGATATTTGAATTTGGGTCTTAAATGGGATTAATCTCAAAAATACCCAACACAAAATAGGAATACTTGGGGGGTATTTGGCTCTAGAGAAGTAGTGAAGTATCGCAATCAGGTCAAGTACAAATATTTCCACGCAATGATTTTAGGCATACGTGCTTTAGAGAATGATGTATCTTTTGCCTTAATGTCTATGTCAAGTAAACTTGGCAAGAGTAGATAGATCTAGGAGTTAAAATAGATAATCTAAGGGCATAAGAGTGTTCTCCACGATTCATAGTGGTTGACCACCACAAAAATTTTGACCACCGCAAAGACTTTTAGTTTACTCTGTCTGTTTTTCATTAGCATCATTAGGATAGTTTTTCCAAAGGTGTTTCAACCTTAGTCAGTTGTTCGCAGTCTTCCCTATCAATTTCCTCTTTAATAAATCGAAATCCATACTACTGAGACCAATATATAATGCAATCCCTCTCCCTCCTTCATGTAGCAACATTGGCCATGGAGAAATTTCACCACCTTTCCCCACTTGGACTTGTGTTGCTATGTTTTCTTTCAGCTTCCTTCGCCATGTTCCCGACCAATATTACCACTGATCAGTCATCCCTTCTTGCCTTGAGAGCTCACATTTCGGTTGACCCTCTACAAATCTTGGCCAAAAACTGGTCTGTTGGCTCTTCGGTCTGCAATTGGATTGGAGTCTCTTGTGGCTCTCGTCATCGTAGAGTGACCGGCTTAGATATTTCAAACATGAATCTTTCCGGCACCTTACCTCCACAACTGGGAAATCTATCATTTCTTGTTTCTCTTGACATGAGTGCGAACAACTTCCATGGAGAACTACCACATGAGTTTGTTGGATTGCGGCGATTAAAACTACTTAATTTGAGTGTCAACAATCTCGAAGGAGAGTTCCCCCAGTGGATTGGTTCATTTCCTCAACTTCGTCGCCTGTCTCTTAGAAATAATAGTTTCACTGGTCTTATCCCATCTTCCATCTCTAACATGTCAAACCTACAGTATATAGCTCTTTATAACAACCATCTGGCAGGACACATTCCCACGGGGATTTTCAATATTTCCTCCCTGCAAAGCATTGCCCTTGCAAATAATAGCCTATCCGGTGTTCTTCCAAGTGACATGTGTTACCATCTTCCTGGACTGCGTTTTCTTGACCTATCATGGAACAAGTTATATGGTCAATTACCATCAAGTAATTTAGCTCAATGTTCAGAACTTCGGGTGCTGTCTTTGTCTTTCAACGAATTTGGAGGTTCCATACCAAAAGAAATTGGAGCACTGAAGAAGCTTGAGCAGCTGTACTTGGGTAACAACCATTTAGAAGGTAAGACCCTTGCTAATTAATTCTTTCACCGTATATGGACAAAGCCAAATAGCACATGTCTTGCACAATTTTCACTCTATCTTTCCAGATTCCAACTCAAAAAGCAAAAGATAAAAGAAAAATTTAGAGCTGAAGATTGTTTTCTGCCGAATGAATTCTCAAAATGCTGCCTCAAGGAAAGAATGGTTACCAAAGATTTTCAGAATTTTTGGTTCCTTTACAGCTAGGAAGACAAGGGATAAATGCAGTAGATAAGAATATGGTCCTGATGGACAAGTTAATGGCGAAAACATATTCATATTTTCTTAGGGCTCTACATAATAGGAAAAAAAAATTGAAAATAAAGTTAATTTTCACATGCATTTACTTTAAAATGTCTTTTTTTAATTCCAAAACGAGCAAATTTCAAAATGTTGAGGGGTGCCGGGATGTGGCCAATTTCTCGCTTTTGGCCCATTAATTTTCTCATTTACTTTTCTTCAAAACGTCCATCAAAGATCTGAACTTGTTGATATTTAATTCCATTTCATTTTTGCAGGCAAAATTCCAAAAGAGATTGGTAATTCAACTATGATTAAAATACAAAGTTTTGCATACAACAACTTAACAGGTACAACAATTTTCTCAATGGCAGAAATTAGAGACTTCTATGGTTTAATATATGTGGCCAATATTATTCTGACAGGTGTAATACCACGAGAGATTGGTAACTGGTACTTTCTCCAACAACTCGAGATGGAATTCAATAGCTTAACTGGTTCCATACCAATGGAGATCTTCAACCTCTCAAAGTTGAGTGTTATGTCACTTGCACAAAATCAACTTTCGGGCAATCTTCCATCAACATTCGGTTATGGGCTTGCCAATCTAGAAGAGCTTTATCTCGACATTAATTACTTTTCTGGAGCATTACCTAGTTCAATCTCAAATTCTTCTAATCTCCGTCTCATAGCAATTGGTTATAACAAGTTCACGGGTCCAATTCCCACTTCCATGGGAGACTTGAGGTTCCTTGAATGGCTGGATCTAAACGGCAACCTTTTAGTGAGCGACTCCTCATCTCCAGAGTTGAGCTTCATCACTTCGTTGGCAAAATGCCAATATTTGGCAAGATTGGACTTGAGTGGCAATCCATTGAATGGGATCATTCCGGACTCACTCAGTAATCTTTCAACTTCTCTAGGAAAATTACGTGCATCGGATTGTAAAATAAAGGGCAGCATTCCTGATGGAATTGGAAACTTGAGAAGTTTGATCCTATTAGATCTATCAAACAATGACTTAACTGGGTCGTTGCCAGCTACAATAAAAGATTTGCAAAAGCTTCAATACATGGATCTCAGTATGAACAAACTAATTAGCAGAGTCCCCCTGCATTTGCTCTGTGCTCTCCACAACTTGGATACAATGAACCTTGGACAAAATCAATTTATGGCCTCAATTCCAAAGTGCTTCGGAAATCTTACTTCCCTGAGGCATCTCAACCTAAGTCACAACAGACTATATTCTGCTCCACCTGAGGAAATATGGAACCTAAAAGATCTCTTGGAGCTTGACCTCTCCTCAAATCTGTTGAGTGGATCTTTGTCGTATGCTATTACGAATATGAAGATGGCAAATTGGGTGGATTTGTCAACCAATCAGTTCTCAGGTGGCATCCCTGGCTCAATTGGAGATATGCAGAACCTGCAAAATCTTTCTCTAGCACACAACAGATTGCAAGGATCAATCCCAGAATCGATTGGTAAGGTGTTCAGCTTGGAGTCATTGGATCTTTCACATAACTTTCTCTCTGGATCAATTCCAATGTCAATGGAGAACCTTCGGTATCTTAAATATGTCAATCTCTTTTTTAACAATTTAAGTGGTGAAATTCCATCCCTAAACTGCTGCACTGCCGAGTCCTTCGCTTCAAATCAAGCCCTCTGTGGAGCTCAAAGGTTTCATGTGCCCCCATGTCCAAATAATTCAGCTCACAAATTGAGAACAAAAAAGCTGCATCGAACCATTTTTATTCTACTAGGGGTAATAATAGCAGTGGGAGCCTTGTCCTTTGGATTTGTTTACCTCAGATATCGAAAGAAAGATACATTTTCCAGTGGAGCAAATTTATCCTTAGTTGCAATGCCAGAAAGAATTTCATATTTTGAACTTCTACAAGCAACTAACGGGTACAATGAAAGCAATCTGCTGGGGGGTGGAAGCTTTGGATCTGTTTATAGGGGCACTCTTGATGATGGAAGGGCTGTGGCTGTTAAAGTGTTCAATTTACAAGTCGATGGAGCGTTCAAGAGTTTTGATGTAGAATGTGAAGTGTTGCGCAATCTTCGCCATCGAAACCTCACAAAAGTCATCAGTAGTTGCTCTACCCCTGAGTTTAAGGCATTAGTGCTTGAGTTCATGCCTAATGGGAGTCTTGAGAAGTGGTTGTATTCCCACAACTATTTTCCTAATCTGATGCAGAGACTGGACATATTGATTGATGTGGCATGTGCATTGCAATATCTCCACTGTGAGTATTCAACTCCAGTAATTCACTGTGATCTGAAGCCAAGTAATGTGCTGCTGGATCAAGACATGGTTGCCCATCTAAGTGATTTTGGCCTTACAAAGTTGTTGGGCGAGGAGAACAGCATCACATACACCGAAACACTAGCCACACTTGGCTATCTCGCTCCAGGTGAAGAATTTTCTCGTACAACTGAAGTACTATTTCCTCAGTTGTTTGCTGTTGCAAATTCCAAACTAAAAAAATACAATCAATTTAAGAACATATGATGAATTTATATGTGTTTTGCAGAGTATGGGTTGGAAGGATTGGTATCAGCAAAATGCGACATCTATAGTTTTGGAATTATGATGATGGAAGTCTTCACGAGAACAAATCCCAACAGTGAAATGTTTGGTGAAAATTTGAGCCTGAAGAGCTGGGTTGCTAATTCAATGCCTGATGGATTAGCTAATGTCATCGATGCTAATTTGCTCAAGGAAAGTGATGAATGCATTGGTGAAAAGCTAAGCTGCATAGCCTCAATCATGAAGTGGCTCTAGGCTGCACGATGGAGTCTCCAAGAGAGAGAAGCAGCATACAAGATATTCTTGTTGAGCTGAAAAAGATCAAGCTTCAGTACATGAGTCCCCTCTGTTCAGGGACATAATGGTGCGTGCATTTTCTCTAAGCAAGATTGCAACCTTCTTGATTGTCTCAGTTACAAATTTGCGGGGCGGAGAAAAATCTCAACAAGATTAGGCCAAGTAAGAATAGCATTTAACCAGTAGACTAGGCAATTATGCCCTATACAATAATAGATCTGTTTAAATGGTGCCTATGGGCACTCGTTAAGATGTATTTCGGATATTATATTTAAAAAAATATAAGATTAATTACCAAAAAGTGTATAAATGCCAGGAGATTAATTAGAGAAAGTGTATAAATGCAAGAGTAAGTAGTAATTATTAGTGTGTGTATATACATAGTAAGTTGGATGAAATATAAGTGTCTTAACGAGTGCCCATAGGACATCCGTTAAAAAAATCCTATAATAATTGTTTTCTTATTTCTTTTCTTTCCACCTGATTGATCGCCCTTAATTTGTAATAATAAAGTTATCTCACAATATTCACCAATCCCATTATGGGTACCAAAGGACTTGTAATCCTTTTCATAGTGACTCATTACTAAATCCATGTCATGCATAATAAAACTACTTTTGAGCCATAGATGGAAAAAGAAATAATAAATAGTGTGTCAAAAAAGTTGCAATTAGTAGGTAAAGGGATAGGTTGCAATTAGGGCCATTCCTTTTTCCAAATTTTGAAACATTTAAATGCACAAGTTTGGGTCAAAAATATAACTCATTTTCGTGTTTGGCTCAAAAGGGTAAATTAAAGTTGCAAACGAATCGAGTCACTCGTGATCAGAGTCCAAGCTCGACTCGAGCTCGGTCAACATCAATCGAGGTCGAGCTGATAACTTAAATTCGAGTTCAAAAATATTAAACTCGTTAACTTGCGAGGGGCTCGAACTCGATTGTATTTTTTTATTTTTATTTTAATAATAAAATTACATATATATCCCTAATATTTTATTATTTGTTAAGAAAAATTATTATCTTATTTATTTTTTAAAAAATAAAATAAATTTTTTTATTTTTTTAAACTCGAGCTCAAGCTTTATATTTTGAGATCGTCGAGCTCGAGCTCTAGTTTGAATTTCATAAACTTAGGTTGAGGCTTGACTCAATTGAATCAAAACTCGATTCGACCAGACTCATTTACACCCTTACAATAAACTATGACTATTTTGATATCACGTACCTACATTTCCCACGACCTTTTAGGCTTTGTTTGGGACTAAGTGTTTGAGAAATATCATCTCATAAAATTAGGAGTAGACCTTTTGGTGTTCAAAACACTTTTAGTAAAAACTCAAATTTTGTGCTTTTAGAGTAAATTTTGTGATTTAAAGAATAAAACATCAATTTTAATTATCTTATCCAATATTATGAACCAAATAAAGAGATAAATACTTTTAAAAATTTTCAAATTACACATTATCTAATACAATAAGTAGTTATTGAATTATGTCTCCAACAATATGTTTAAAAGCACTTAAGCAGTTGATAAATACTTTTATTAAAAGCTCCACCAAGAAAGTACTTTTCAATAAACTACCGTAACCCCAAACGGCCCTTAATATCACTTATTATGATAGGGGTTTACATTATTACAGCACTCAAAACATAAGAGGTGCTACGCATAATTGTCAGAAGCCTAAAGGGAGGTTTACAAAATTATCCCAACTACAAATTTTGCAACCAGGATTAGGCACTATAACAGAAGTTCAAAATGTACCAGATACAATATCATAGATTATATTACCACTTAATTAAGAGAATCTTCTTTAGAAGAAAAAAATACAAACAGAGCAATTAGCCTCTTCCAGCATCTTGGATGACTTTATGATGTTTCCTAAGCAACAAAAAAGCCCTCCACAATCATCGATATGGTGACACACCAAGCAGTGAGTCTAGGCCAGACAACTGACATTGAAGAAAACTGTAAACTGACTCAGTCGTTATTGCAGCAATTCGAACCACAACACCTCTTCCCTGCGGAAAACAGGGAGGAGTTGGCATGTCTTCAAATGAAGAATGTAACAGTATATTTAGTTAAACAAAATTTGACGTATCAAACAATTTGTACAAATGCTAAAATTTCCCTGACTTGACGATGCAGAGATGGAATTTTCACTACATCAGTGTCAGTATAGAGGAAGCAGAAATTTCAGAAGCTATGCCAAACATTCTTACAGAAAATGTTACTTCAGTTTAAGAAAAGAAGCATTTTTTACAATAAGGAGTTCAAGAGAAAGCATGACCGCAAGGTGGAAAGCTTGTCAATCTTCAAGTCTAACCATCTGTGATTGTAACGGAGAAAGGCAAAATTCTGAAGAGGCAAATTTAGGCTATACATAAATCAATCTTCCACAAGGCATACGATGATCCATGAAAGATTAACATTTAAAAGGAAAAAAAATACCACAATGCCTAATAGCAAAATCATGTAATATACTTGCTCATGTCCTGTAACCCACTGATTAGTATAAGATTCTCAAAGAGCTATCCAAAGACATTAAAAATTCCATGAGGATCTTCAAGCATATATGACACGACTAGTAGAAGACCCTGACTGCAATTGTAGATGTGAAGCCTTGCAGATTAGTCAGTGGTATTAAACAAGCACTAAAATAAAATTTCCTTGGAACAGAACCTATTGAATATTGACTGTAAAAAGAGCCTACCATTGCAAGAAAACTAACACCCATGTGAAAAAAATCTACCTTTGGACCAAAGACGCTGCAGGAAGCCAAAAAGCTCGGTCTGGTGAAGAAAGGATTGTCATCGATATCTCCATATCGTCCAGAGCTACCTGAAGGAATACGTAATTGCTGAGACATCAAGTTTTTCACATTTTCCTGAATTTGGTCTTGAATGAACTTCAGCTTTGGCCTAGAATTAAAAAGATTTGTAGCCTCTCAGTTAACCAAGATTAAGCAGTGGAAAGGAAATAATCATATAAAGAATAAAAGTACTGGTTAAATTAATTCATCGAGTCAACGCATACCCCAAAAGTATAACCATCGCAATTACTTGATAATCTTGCATCCGTTCAGCAATACTGCTATACCTTCCCTGCTCTAGCAATATCTATGATCAAAGTAAAACAATCTGAGCCATTTAAATGAGAAGGATAACGATCATCTAGATACAACAGAGTCAATCTTGTAGAAGGAAAAACATCAGAGAAGAGAACTGAATTAAAGGTAACCATTCTTGGATCAACATTCTTTAATTAGTTCAGATGTAAAGAAAACAAAATGAGTTTGTTTTAGAGTCAGATGTATAGAAAATACCGAAAGCAAGAGTCTCCCAACACAAGGGAGTCAAGAAACCCAAACGCAGAGAGCATTCTGAGACTTCACCAACAACTAACGATTATTCATGTGTGAAAAAGAAAAACAAAAGATTCCTGATAGAGGAAAAAATTAGCTAAATGATCTCCATGTTGAAGACAATAGAAGCCTGGGTAACATAACACCTGTGCATGCCAAAGTGCTAGATGATCTTTAAGCAAGCCAAAGTTCAAAACGTGCACCGAAGTTCCAAGTAAATCAGTTTGAAGATCTGAAGCTTGTATCTCCATGAGATGTTTGCATTTGATTATTTCAACTAATACCAACATTAATTGCTATGGAGAAACCTATTCTCCAGGCTCAGTCCATCAGAATTAAGCAATTTCATCCAAAAGATCTTTTTTTTTTTTTTGGGAATTCATCTCAAAGATGTTTCCTATCATTAAGGCATCTAATCGACATTTGCTCAAAGTTGTTTGACAAAATTAATTTACCATGTTCCTGTAAACTGCGGTTGCCATGATTACAATATTCTTTTGTCCAACATGACATATATTCCCAGGACTAAGGCCTGTATATGCATAAATTGACTAAAAGGACATTAAATGACCACAAGTTGAAAGCTCGAAAGCAATTAAAACAAAAAAAATACAACATTCAACATAAATCTAAAGATATTAAAGATTGACATGAATCTATTGCAAGCAATAGTTCAAAAAATAAAAATTTCTTATAAGATTAAAATACTTCAATTTCGCCACTCTCTTCAATATCACACGCTTAGTATACAATGATGCTAGCATAGTTAAAAAACATGGCTTGAGGATGACAATACCGTGTCAAGAAACAAAGGTTCATCAGCTTCTAGAAAAATGTTGTTAGTGCTCTTGTAAAGTTCAAAGTCCCACTTTTCACCTCTTCCATAGCGGCCACTAGTTATCCAATCAACAATGAGCAAGCTGGAGCTGGGAAAGACTTTGAATACTTGAGTTTGAGAATACTTTGCAGTTGAAAAGCATGTAACTGGATCTGGAATCACAGCCAAAAGGGCATCACTTCCAATTCTTGCCTACTGTGCATCACAAAAAAGCCGCTTACCAATAGCTTTAAAACACAGGAAAGATATTGTATAAGATAAGTAGGATACTAGATTATACAAACTTGGCTTGAGAAGCTAAAGTACTCTTCCCCAATAACACTATTTTTGAAGCAGCAGAATGAAACACCCAGGTTTTTACAGCCATAATATCTTCTTTTTTTTGGTCCAAAACAAGAACAAGCCAAGATGAAAATTCCGTCACTATGTCAGCACAGACAACACATAGCCATGCACAGTACTTCTTTTTTTTTTTTTTTGGTCTCAAACCCATCTTACTTCCACCTGTTGCCTATCAGAAAAATTTGCTTGCATAAAGTACTAAATTTTTGTATTTCAGATCCAATGGTAAATCCAAGAGGTGATTTAAAGATAACAAGGGGCTACGAGAGTCCATTAAAGGTTCATGAAAAGTAATACAAAGAAAATGAAGGAAGCAGTTTAGACAATGGTTTTACTACTAACTTTTTATTCGAATTTTGATAGTGTTGATCAAATTAAGCTAGGATGAATCTTATTACTACTAAGTCAGACATCCTCATACGACTTATTTGCAGTGAATCTAGATTCCAGATTTCCAGCAGGTACCTGATTTCATGAGGTGAAGTTTTAGGTGTTCCTTTAGGAATGGTAGAAAAGCGTTGTAGAATAATCTAGCAAGTTTTTGTATCAGGGTCCTTATCTATAGATTAGCTTTTAATAGTTTTAATGTTGTATGACTCATGTGCTCTTTCAATAACTTGCAAAAGGGATTCATATGGCCCTTGAATGCTTGACCTAAACTTGTCTTGGAACATAAATGCATCCTAGGATTTCTTCTTATTGACCATCTTCTCTTCTAAACTGTACAGCTCCAATCAAAATCCTTATTCTAGCTGTCTTCTAGCCTGCACGTCCTCTCTCTTCCACATGTTCAGATTATTCTGTCCCAACCTCTTACACTTCAAAATCAAACCATCCCCTCCATCCCAA